CAAGCTTGCAAAATACAGTAAGGGCTATCAATTTGCATCTGCATACGCCAATGCTGAATCAACAAATCTCACTATGCTGCCAATTCTGAATCAACAAATCTCACTATGCTGCCAATTCTGAATCAACGCAATTTAATCTTAGGAACACAATGATCCATCCAGCACACTCTAAAGCACAGTTAATTCCAACCCTTGTGCACCTCAGGTAACCCAACTGCAACATTAGGCTGCTGCATATATGGTTTGAGGACCTACTACTTTTTTGTTTCTGGGACAAAATTTACATAAGCAAAATCCTGATTTTGTTTAAAAAATAATACAGAGCCAAACCTAAAATCAGAAAAATTGAACCATTCCAAGTTAGAAGGGCGGGCTTGGTGCAAGCGGTAGAGTCTTACCGTCTGTGATTGGAAGGTCCTGGGTTCGAGTCGCGGTCTCCTCGCATTGCCCAGGCGAGGGTAAGGCTTGCCACTGACACCCTTTCCCAGACCCTGCACAGAGCGGGAGCTCTCTGCACTGGGTACGTCTTTTTTTTTTGAACCATTCCAAGTTACAGTAGGGGATAATTCACGATACCTTGTAAAAGTACCTCCTTCCGGGCTCCAATCCCTTCATGAGGCCGTCGAAGACGAATCCCGGATCCCTCCAGGTGACGCTGCTGTTCGCCGGCCAATCGCACATGTGCTTCTGCTCGTACGTGCTCACATATGTGCCCACCTCCTTCCACTCCTTCTCGTCCTCCTTCTGCAGCCCGTACCTGACGACCCTCTCCCTGCGGTCGTCGCACACGAACAGGACCCGCATCTCATCGACGCCATCCGCGAACGCGAGGTGCACCTGCTCGGGGCTGGCGGGGTCGCCGACGGAGACGTCGGCTGAGACGGCGACGCGGTGCTTGCCGTGGGGGAGCGGGTTCCGGTCGTGGTCGATGTGGTGGTAGGAGAGTTCGACGGCTGCGCTGGGGCCGCCCTCCTCGGCGACGACGGGTGCGAGTTGCCTGGTGAAGTAGAGGGCGAGCTCGGGGGCCTGGGTTGGGGCGGCGGCGTGGATTGGGACGAAGTGACGACGCGGATCGGGACAGGAGGGTTGAAGGGGGGAACGAAAAAACAAGATAAGGCACCGGCTTGCCTATATGCGGGTACAGGGGCGGGTAAACAAAGTCAATGGTGAGAAAAAAATATTGGCACGAGGGCGTCGACTCCCGAGCTAAATGGTAGGAACGCATAAGAAATCTTACGGTAAGACTTGGCGTGGCCCACATATGAATTAATAATAGACCATTAGATTAAAATATATCAACTGATCCAAGGGTCCTGGTGCAAGGTGGGTAGGAATCTTCTGGGTGAGAGCTATTTTTCAAATCCTTCGCTCTTTTATAGTATAGATACATAGCTACCTATCTATAGATATGCATTATTTTTGGACAAGTTGCTGTTCCATTCCATCCATGGGTTACAAAAGTAAACATATTAGAAAAGGGTTTGGCTCCTTGGTTTTGCTGATCGATTGGCGTTTGTGGAAGGAAAGAAATGGTAGGACCTTCCTTCGATCGAGCAAGCTGTGTAATAATAGCCTCATAGGGGAGTTGCTGCCCAGTACTAGTAGGGAGGAGGCGGATCAATGCTTGTGGCGGGCTACAGGCAGTTGCGGTTGCGGATCAATGCTTTGGTTTGGTTGCTGTCACGGCAGGCAAGGCTGCCGGTACCGGCCGGCGCGGCGACGGCATGGTCCAAACTGGTCCTCAGTCCTGTATTGTCTAACCATAGCAAATGCCATGTCAAGTTTTTTTTTTTTGAGGGAAGCAATGCCATGGCCTTGTTTAGATTACATGAAAGTTCCAAGTTTTTTCACTCTCTCTTCATCACATCAATTTTTAGACGCATACATAGAGCATTAAATGTAGGTAAAAAAGTAACTAATTGCACAGTTTGGTTGTAAATCATGAGACGAATCTTTTGAGCCTAGTTAGTCCATGATCGGACAAAGTTTATCAAATACAAACGAAACGTATTACAGTGTCCAGATTGCAAAAATTTACAATCTAAACAAGGCCGTGTCAAGTTCAGCCTACCGTCTGGCAGGAGCTTGATTGTTGACCTGAGAAAGCTCTCATCGCTGATCGGTCAGCACTACCAGACCAGGCAGGGCCACGCACGCCGAGAGGGCGAGGCTCTGGTCAGTCTATTGTCCATCTGAGTCTGACACGCAGCCATGATCGCTCGACACGACGCTGCCCTCCCTTTCTGACCTTTCGAGGCGCTGTGCCTGTGCGTTCCTTTTCAGTTTCTTTGGCTGCCGCGTGCCGTTCTCCGTTGAGAAGATCAAGGCCTGGTGATACTGCATGATGTGCCTTTGCGACTACCGACGGAACGGAATGCTGGTGATCACGCGTCTCGACATGCATGGAACCACGCACGCCCCGCACGCCGTGATCCGTGCGTGATCTCTCCGTGACTCCGTCCGCCGGCCCGAGCCATGGACGCCGCGTTGTCATGTACTCGGGGCCCGGAAGCCGGAAGGCCCGGACCACGGAGGTCGGCGGCAGTTGCCCGTATCGTTTGGACCTTTGGGACGAAGTCGTTTGCCCCCGTCCGTGTATTGTTAGGCTTAGCATGTGCAGGACCCAGGGTACTGTTATGGCCCATTAAGAAGAACAACCGTCCTTTTTTTGTATTGTTGTTGTTGGAGTCCAAAATTTCTTCTCAAATTTTAAAACTAGACAAATTGTATCTCGTAACCATTTAAATCAATTCCATAATTTTTTATATAAAAAAATTGGTACACACGTGACGAGAATTTTAAGCCAAAAAATATTTATAAGTTTCTAAAATCAACAAGATAAATGCTATAGGTACATTGAAACATGAGAAATCCAAACAAACTATTTGAAGCTCATGAAATATATATTTAGAAGCTTTCAGAAATCGTATTCAGGTCTAGGGAAATGGAAAATATCAAGAAAATCTATGAATTTTCCGAAAACGTTCTAACATATGGCTAAACATGTTTTAAAACTTTTCATAAGAAAAATATGAAACCAGCATGAATGAGTTGAGCATTATTTTAGGTTTTCACTAAAATAATACGCTATGCACTAGTGCAGTATTTTCCTTCTTAAAAGGATCATGTACCTTCCATTTATGTGGAAGCTTTGGCCTGGCTCAAGAAAATCCCATTGCACTCACTTTTACTTTCAGCTAAAACATAGTATGAATATTTACATTCTTTGTCCACGGGTATAAGGCATTATTGGTACGACTTAAAATTTATCCACAAATATATCCATTTTGATATAACCCACCCTTCCCCTCTCTCAAAATCCACTCGTCCACCCTTTGATATACACATTTCACTTCCGTCCTAGTCTATTATGTCATGTGTCATCAAAATGTTTTGTTTGGATCCTAACTGGATTATAGTAACATAGAGTATAGATGAGATTATAATAATTAAGATTATGGATTATAAATAATCTAGACGATTTGGATCTCTAGATTATAGAGGTGAATTGTTGTTAGTCGAAGTACAAATGACTTGTAATATCATAGAAACAGTTTTGAGAGAGATGATATGAATATTATAATCTGGTTGTTAGATTGTCATAATGTACACTGCTCCCCTGGTAAAAAAAAACCGAAGTTTCACTTTGCGATGTGTCCAACAATCCTAAGTTTTACTAATAAAAAATAGTATCAACACTTATCTTAAAATATATTTATTATAAAAAACATCCTCTAATTAATCTAGTGACACTTAGGGCCTATTTGGCACACCTTTACCAATAGCCTCATAAGTTGTTGTGAGCTTTTTTTTTCAAACATCTTTTTTTAAAACAACTCATGAGGTGAAGCTCGTTTTTATGCTCTCACAAAGAAATGGAGAGAGATGAAGCTGAATAAATTAGCTTTTCACATATCTCTTCCTCTGAATTATAGTAAAATAATCTGAATAGCCATACATGAAGCTGTTTCGCCAAATATTTTTTTTAAAACAGCTCAGCTTAACCGAGAAAGCTTCTCATAAAGCTATTTTTCTAAAAAAAAATAGCATCATGGTGAAGCGAGTTGTGTCAAACGAGGTCCATTGTACATCATAACTATCAATACTTATTTGATTAAAGTTTAGATTTTTGTTTGACTCCTCAGAAATCAAGTTCTTTTTTTGGACGGAGAGGTATATATTCAGATTATTTTACTATAATTCAGTCGCAAACACCCCAAATATCCCTATAATTCAGTTGCAAACACCCCCAAAAATATGTTTTGAACCGACTACAGATCTACAGTAGAAACGTTGAGTCCATCACTAGAAGCGCAGCGTCTGGCTTTTTTTTAGTACGGACGCCAGTTATCTCCCTCCCCCCTGTCTCCTTCCCACTGCCATGTGTTTGCCCAGCAAAGGCGAGACAAGTGAAGGACGCATCTGGCCGACGCTGACCACTGCGCAGTGGGCACTCCGGCACTGGCTCCTTCCTTCCCTGATCCCTCGTCCTCCTCGGCCTGCCTGCCCCGCCTGCTGCAGCTGCCAAGCCCCCGGCTCCGCTCTGCTCGCCAGCAGCACCAACTTCCACTTCCGTTCCACCAGCAAAGCGAGCTCCTTTTTACTCCCCAAAATCTCTGAATAAAAAATCGCGCAAGCAACCTCGCTCCACCGGCCTCCCGCAGTCAGGTCAGGTCAGGTCCCAGCCCACGCAGCATTTGACAGCGCGAGGCGGTTGCCCAGTCAGGTCTGCCTTTTCTTGGTTACTTTTTCCTTTGATTTTATTTAGTTCAAAGCCCATAACCACCGGCAATCTAATCTCCAGGCCCCGGTGTGGGTTTCCTCTTGCAAGCTCCTGAGTTGCTTCTGGGCGCCAGTTTCAGTTACCCTATCTCCGGTGTGGGTTTGATGAGGGGCATTCACATTTTATCTCCCCGTTTTGCACAGTCTTGGGGTGGACGGCTTTGATTGGCTTCGAAGGAAGGGAGGTGCTTGTGAGAAGCCTTTGACCAAGGTTGCCAATGGAGTCTGGGATTTGGGCATCTGTTTGGAGCTTCATCAAGTTCCTGCCTTTCTTCTTTGCGCTTCTCCTCCTCGGCATCATCAAAGGTGGACAGAACGCTTGCTCTGTCAGTCCATTCTTCTCTCCTTTTTTTTTTAATAAAAGTATGGAATGTAATTGTATTAAAGGATGGTTTCACACGGCTGTGTCCTTGTTTCGTAAATTCAATCAATCAGTTCACGTGGTGTGTTGCATTTGCTAGTCCTATGCTAAGAATGGTTGCCGATTGAGCTATTCTGGTTCTGCTTGTACTGATGCTTGGTTGCTCCTTCAAACCATTGTTGTGGGCTTCAGTAATGAACAATGATGTAACCTGGTTGCCTTGATTTGGCTTGCATAAATGCTCATATCACCAATGAAGTAGTCCATTTATGAGTTGATATACGCTCCCTTTGATAATAAGGGAGCAAATGGTGTAGTACATATAGGTATATCAATACTTTCTGCCTAACTTTTATTGGCAGAGTATTGACTTTATGAATATTGCTCGATCTGCCTGGTTCTTTTTTTTTTTGTGCATCTGCAGATTTATTCATGCCGTAGCTTTTACTTGTTATTTGTGCCATTCTGCTTGATAGGGGCAATAGACTTGTTTCTGCAGTGTTTTGCAATCAGAATATCTAGGGATATGAATTGAACTGTGCACATGAGATTTTGGATTAATTCTAGAAAAAATAGTGTTCTGATTGTAAATGTTAATACCTTGGCTAGCCTACATTTCATGGACTGTTTGAGTACTTGGTAATTATTGTTGATCTCAGTTCCTATTGGTCTATCGATTCATGCTAATCTTGCCAATCCAGGTGCTTTGTTTGGCCCATGGGCATGGCTCGTCATGACAATTGGAATCTCCGCACTTATTCTAGGCTTGTGGCCTATGCATGTGATTTGGACATATTACTGCATCATCAGGTAGCGTTTGCAGTCCTGAAAGGAAAGTAATGCAATGTAGTGTATTTGGATGTGCTTATCACCTTTTTATGAAAGCAGAACCAAGATGGTAGGACCGGTCGTAAAGTTGCTGCTTCTTATCGCTGCAACTGTGGTTTTGTTTCTATGGCTAATAATTGGCGTCGCGGGAAGCATCCTTGCTGGTTTGGCTTATGGCTTTCTAGCACCAGTAATGGCTACATTTGATGCAGTTGGGGAAGGAAAAGAAAAGACACTTGTTCACTGTTTTTTGGTACAATTTACTTGTAATGGTTTCATTCTGATATCTGTTTTGTGTGTACAATACCTGTTTCACATGGTTGGCTAACTGGAAATGCAGGATGGAACATGGAGCACTATCACAGGAAGCTGTACAGTAGTCAGGGACGTGAAAGACATGTTGGTACACTCATATTTTTCAATCATGGATGAAGTTCGTCTTCATGCACCTCCCGATGGCAAGCCATATGAGATAAGGTCTTAGGTCTACTTTCTTTCTGTTATTGTTTTCAGCCTTTTCATTCTTCCTTATAACTATATGTGTTAACAAGTGAGTTGCAATTGTACTAAATGAGTCATTACCTTCATCTGGTACTCTAATTAAAATATTCTGTCTGTTTGTTATCTTGGTTAGCTTTTCTTGCACATCATAAACAGTTCAGGTTAACAACAAGATACACTATAGTGTGGTCACAAGAAAGACCAGGAATACACAATTAATTCATACTTGAGAACTCGCTTTAAAAAAAGAAATGATATGGGGAGTGTCCCATGTAAATTGAAGTTCAGTATCCTTTTAAATCTTGATCCGATCGATAATATTTAAACACCCTTGTAGTGATATTGTTTTAGTTGAGGAATTCTGCATGGCACAAAATAATTAACTTTGCAACCCCAGATTGCTACAAATTCCTGGTGCAATATTTGCTGCTGCTTGTGGGCTTGTAGTGGATGCAATAATGTTCACACTAATTGCCTTGTACAAGTTCCCTGTTATGCTATTCAAAGGATGGAAGCGGTTGATTGAAGATCTTGTTGGCAGAGAAGGACCTTTTCTTGAGACAGCTTGCGTGCCGTTTGCTGGTCTTGCAATTCTTCTCTGGCCATTTGCAGTTATAGGAGCTTTTCTAGCCTCTGTTATCTGCAGTGTTCCGTTTGGTGCATATGCTGCTGTGGTGGTTTATCAGGTATTGACAAATCTTTTTGGACTGGCAGCAGAAAAATATCATTTATAGCATAAAGCTAGTATTATGATGAAATATTACCTGATTTAGCATGATAGATGTGGAAACGTGAAGCTTACAGTTGCAATCTTGTTTATGTGGCAGGAATCCTCACTTTTCTTGGGACTGTCTTATGTAATATCATCAGTATCCATCTTTGATGAATATACAAATGACGTACTTGACATGGCACCAGGATCTTGCTTTCCTAGGTACAAATGGTTTATTCTGTTCCAAAATGTTGTCCTTGAATTGTACACCGAATAATACAACAACAACAACAACAACAACAAAGCCTGTCAGTCCCAAGTAAGTTGGAGTAGGCTAGAGTTGAAACCTACCGAGAGCCCCAAGTCACGGTTCAGGCACATCAATAGCTGCTTTCCAAATACTCCTATTCAAACATAGATCTCTAGTTATATCCCAAACTTTCAAATCTCTTTTTATTGCCTCCCCCATGTCAATTTCGGTCTACCTCTACCTCTCCTCACATTATTAGCTTGGCTTAGGACTCCACAATGCACTAGTGCCTCTGAAGGTCTCCTTTGGACATGGCCAAACCACCTCAACCGATGTTGGACAAGCTTTTCTTCAATTGGTGCTACCCCTTGGCGGTTACGTATATCATCGTTCCTAACTCGGTCCATTCTTGTGTGACCACAAATCCATCGCAACATACGCATTTCTGCAACACTCAGTTGTTGAACATGACAAATCTTTGTAGGGCAACACCGAATAATACAAGTTACTCAAAATTTCACTTTCCATGACTAGGTTTAAATATAGGAAAAATGAAGCTTCCTCACATGGTGGTTCTCTCTCGAGGCACGGTTCATCCAAGGACAAGCATGATGGAAAGAAAGCTCCTCAGCGCGTAACATCATTTAAAAGTAGCTTTGATGAGTTCAATCCATTCAAGGTGATCTTTTTCTGGAAAACTGGCAAAAGAAATTTCACTGTGTTCCCAGTACATAAAAATTCTCTATACTGACACTGGCCCATGCTCCATTTAGATTACTTTTATTGTATTCTTCTACCTCCATTACAAATTATAAGATGTTTTGACTTTTCTAGATACATAGCTTTTGCTATGCACTTAGATATACACCATGTCTAGATTCATAACAAAAGCAATGTATCTAGAAAAAGGCAAAACGTCTTGTAATTTTGGAATTGAGGGAGTATTATGGTGGAGCTATACTTTTTGTAGAGTTTAGATATTATACTATGAGATTTTATAATCTCATTTAAAATTTAAAAGGATGAAGGGCGGGCCTGGTGCAAGCGGTAGAGTCTTACCGCTTTGTGACCGTAAGGTCCCGGTTCGAGTCATGGTCTCCTCGCATTGCACAAAGTAGGTAATGCTTGCCACTAACACCTTTCCCAGGACCCACATGAGCAGCAGGAGCTCTCTTGAGACTGGCACGCCTTTTATTTAAAATTTAAAAGGATGCATGATTCTTTGGTGTTTCAAATTTGTGCAGTATAACTGATTTAGATGTGTTGCTTAGTTGCTAGATCACCTTTTCATAGAGTGTAAGCACCGTGGCAAGGATCTGGTCGCTGAAGGAGTGATAACCCCAAAAGATATAGAAGGAACAAAGGCAGGCAAAGCTAGCACTGGAGTACTTAATGTTGGGTTACCAGCATATGTTATCCTTAAGGCACTCCTCCGATCTGCTAAAGCCAATTCTGATGGTCTGATTCTAAGTGAGTAAGAGTACCTTTCTTCACCACTAAAAGAGGTTTATGGTACCTTTTATGACCTGCGAGACTTTCCTGTGAAATATGCAGGTGATGGATCTGAGATAACATCTGACAATAGGCCTAAGAGTAAAGTCTTTGAGTGGTTTTTTGACCCTCTGATGGTCATCAAAGATCAAATCAAAGCTGAGAACTTCACAGAAGAAGAGGAAGCATACCTTGAGAAGCAAGTGCTCTTGATAAGTGATCCAAAGCGCATCAAGGAGAATCTCATTCGGCTTCCACCATTGAGTGAGCGAAAACAAGCAGAAATAGAAGCATTTGCTCGAAGGTACTTCCTTTCATCACTCGTTTTCAATCACTAAAGAAAAAATAGTCCTTTCTGACCCCGCTGATCCTACTGCAAGGTTGCAAGGGATCACAAAGTCGATATCAAGGTACCCCACAGCCAAGCGCCTGCTTCGACGCCCCTTTGTGAAGGCTCTTTCAGAAGAGCTTGCGAGGACAATGGGTGGTAATCAATCTGCCAATGGGTCTCAAGTCCGGAAGATGAAAAGTGGCATCGTCCGAATGCTTAGCCAGAGATCACTAGGGAAAACAACAGGCATCCGTGGAGATGATCATGAGGCCCAGCTGACAAGTGATGGTCTAACTTCATGATGTTTCGGAGGTGTTCAACTGTAACCTTAGTTTTCTTGTAAAAAAAAATGTAACCTTAGTTTTGATGTTTTGGAGATGTTCAACTGTAACCTTAGTTTGAAAAGGATGTGCTGCTACCTTTTCTGTGTTATTTTGCTAGCTGGATACAAAGAACTGACACTTCTGTTTGAAGAGGATGAGTTGTTTGTTTTGAGGACTGTATCTGGACAACACTGTTGTAATACTTTGTAATAGAAAGCAAAAGATTTGATTCGCAATAGTACCACTAGTTACATGTCCACGGTCGTTCCTGCTGAATTGGATGCCCAACGAACATTTTTACAGTTCTTTGCCCGCACAAGGCTGTCTTTGCGTGCTTGTGTTCAGTTATTTGCAGAATTTTCCATAAACAGTTACAAATGATCCAACACTGCCGAAAACCAGTTACAAACGATGTAACACTGCTGAAAACGATAGTTCAAGACAAATGGAGAAGCGAGAGTATTGAATTCTCCATGAATAGCACTATCATGAGGTTTTAGTGTGGCAAACTTTGATTAGTGTTACATTTTGAATTAGTGTTACATTTCATTCTTCAAGTTAATTTCATTCATCATTACTCGTATTAGTGTTACATTTTGAATTGAAGAATCATAGTTTTAAAATCATAACCGTGGATGGAACAATGACATTCTCGATTCTTAACAGACTCAGGAGGCAATGGTAGCTAATAAAGTGACTACAGCAAGGCACGTGTCTACTACAGGTGATGAGGAAATGTGCGAATCTGAACATGCATTCTGAAACATCAATCACAGTGCCTTCTTCTTGGCGTCCTTGGCCAGCCCCTTCTTGCGGATCTTAATGCACATGCCCAGGCGCACGCTGTCGATAAGGGACTCGGGAAGAATGGAGATCAAGAACCACAGGACAGAGTGTGGCCAGTACGGTGTGCACCTAGGCTCGTATCCAATGTGACGAACAGCAGCACAAGCATACGTATCAGCAGATGGGACCATGAAGGAAGACTTCCTGATGGATGCCATCTTTGTCGCCACGTATAGGGGCACCTGAATAGATTGAAGAAGTTATTGAGTGCAAAAGTTCATAGGGAATACAGCATATAACTGACAAGACCGATGCAATTATTTGCAAAAGCACTAAATCTCCAATTGATCAAGAAGCATTATCAAAAAGGTAGACACAAATCAGTTCAACAGATAAACACGCTTAACCAAGTTTAGTAGAACACGTGAAATGATGATTCGAGATGGTTAATTTTAGATGTTTAGAAATTTCAGAACCACTTCAGTATGTGAGGACTAACATAAGGCTGAAACAACAACTAGAGTGGTTCACCAAAATTTCTTTTAGTTCTTTAGAAAGAGAAAAGAGATCTAGAAACTATAGTTGAAATGGAAAATTGGAATTTGGTGAGAGACAATAAATCATTTCAATAGCACAAAACTAAGTTAACTGTAGAAATGGTTGATAATTCGAGACAAGATACATTAGATGCAAAGGGAGAGATTTGTTACCTGGCATTGCACATCAATACCCTTGCTCTTGTACTCAACATAGAGGCATCTTGAGAATTGGTCAACATACCTGGGAAATACAGATAACATTATTTTTAGCGTGCACTTAGTAAGTTGAAGGGAATGTGTGCATCTGCCTAATTACAGTAATTTAAAAAAAAAAAGAATTACACCGTACAGACTCAAAGGTTCACAACACACGCACACTCACCCCTATGAAAGATTCATCATGTTCGCATTTTTCAGCTAAGTATGTAGTACATAACACAAAGATACACAAACAAAATAGGTCAATTGCTCATTTAACAGCTGTTGCGTGCATGTATGTTACATGGCAATAATTGATTGTTTATAGGTTTTCAACTCTTCATCCAATATGTACTAGATCACAGGATAATACAGCCCAACTATTCCATGAGCTCTAATAGTTGCAAGCAGCATGGAAATTTTAGACCAACTCAACAGGAACATCACAAAAGTTTTTTATAGCTCTTATTATGTATACAGAAATTAGTACGCCTAACCATCAAAGTTCTTTGCTTATGTGTAGCTTACTGATTGCAGTTAGCTATCTGTCGGAGTTTCGGAACCGGGGGTCCTTAACCGACTAGTGAATTTGTGCTGCGTGCTCCCAATTCCGGATGGAGATGCAAAGAGACACAAGGTTTATACTGGTTCGGGCAATGGATGCCCTACGTCCAGTCTGAGAAGGTGTTCTTGTATTCCTTGCACCGGGTGCTCGTAGTAGGGGTTACAAGCTAGGCGAGAGAGGAGTTCGTCCCATTTTTCGTGAGGGGAGGTGATATCAAATTACGAACGAGGCGTGTTGTTCGTATGCGAGTATCTCGTGATTCTATCCGTCGCCCTGAAACGGTCTGGCTGCCTTTTTTTTATAGCCGCAGGGAGGAAATCGGAGTACATAAGAGAGCTACACGTGGAGCAAGGACTATTCGATGACGATTTACTCCTCGGAGCAAAGATGGCGTTGTCGTGGGAGTTCCGTAGATGTCCAATCGGTATGGTCTTCATCGCAAGTAACATGTCGCGCATTTATTGACTTGGTGGATTGCGAGAGGCTCGGCGGCCTTCGTGGCCGGTCGTGCCGAGGCCTGCCGCGTCCGGGCCCTGAGAAGTGACCCAAATGCGTATCGGGTCTCGCAGCCCATCGAAGCGGAATAGTGCGAGACGTCGCCCCTCTGGGATACGGTACCAGTATTGTCGATGAGGGATGGTAGAAAAGGTGATCGACCGCTTGTCTTGTTGCTCTGTTGCAGCAGCACGCCGATCGTGGCTTACGTAGTGGGTGCGGCCGAGCGCGTGTCGGATGTGACACTGCCGAGAGACTTTTGAGGCGAGGCGATGAGGTTGTGGGATTTGAGCCCACCTCGGGCGAGGCGGAGCGCGACCGATTCGTCCGAGGCCCTTCCGAGGAGGTCTCGGGCGAGGCGACGGGCGAGGCGTAGTAAGATCGAGTGGATCCGAGGCCCTGCCGAGGGGGCTCGGGGGGCGGAGCGGTCGGTCGGTCCGCCGATTCCGAGGCTCTGAGAACCCGCCTCGACTCCCCACGTCGCGATGTCCTTGGTGCGGGAGTTAGCGCAAGACAATGGTCGGTAACCCCTACTCAGGCTGCGTCGCAGATGGCAAGAGGTTGACGCGATCGGCGTGTAGTCGGTCCACTTTTGATCATCTTGTGCTTGCAAGCGTCTGCTTGGAGTGGTTGGGTGCTTGGATGCGACGCTTTGGTCGAGCGCTTTGGTTTGAAGAGGCGGCCACGGTCGGTGCCGAAACCCGACCTCATGAATCGGAGAATCGGCACTTCTTCCGAGGCCCCGGGCGAGGGGTCTCGACGAGGGGGCCTCGCGAGGCGGTCTCAAGTAGTCGGAGGATCGTTTGCTTCATTGGTTCTTGGCGACGGGGTCTCGGGCGAATCGGAGATTTCGCCCGAGACCTCGTTCGTTCATTCCGTTGGTTCTGTTTTTAGGGTCTAAGCAGTTCTTCGATCTTTGCATGGGGTACCCCATTTTCTGGTATCCGACACTATCTTTTCATTTCCCCTAAGGAGAAGGATCATACGTCAGATCTGGACATTTCAAGTAATCCTAGACTGATGCAATTTCAGTACCCCAACTAATTCTAGCATATGAATGAACATCTAACTAACTCCCCCTATGATTGCATCAGAATCTGGCATGACCAACACGCAAGCTAAGAATTCACACCGAAGGTGTTTCCTCTAATCCCCCGATCCCAGTCTTGCTACAATTGTTCCCAAACCAAGTAGGCAAGTACAGACAGGCAAGAAAGACGTGGTCCTTTGTTCTCAATCAGTCAATCCTACTACTACTACCTCCATCTATCCTACAATCGAGCCAATTTAAGCTATAGCATGTACAACTGCGGCAGTAAATAGCCAAGGATACAGCAGTAATTCGAGAGCAGGAAACCGGAGAACTCACGCTTTGGTAGCGGCGTAGACGGAGTAGAGCGGATCGGAAGGCATGACGGAGGCGGAGCCGGAGCCGATGTTGACAATGGCGCCGCGCTTCCTCTCGACCATGCCTGGCAGCACGGCGTGCGTGACCCGAGTGACGCCCTCGACGTTGACCCGGATCAGGCTGCGCATCAGCTCCTCGTCCACCTCGTGGAAGTAGCGCGCGTACGGGTAGGACAGCCCGGCGTTGTTGACGAGCACGCCGACGTCGAGGCCCCGGATGGAGTCCTTGAGCGCCTCCACGCCGGCCGCGAGCCCCTCGCTGGCGAAGTCAAGCACGAAGGTCCGCACCTCGGGGACCTTGGGGTGCTTGGCCTTGATCTCGGCGGCGACGGCGGCCAGCTTCTCCGGGTTGCGGCCGACGAGGACGAGGCCGAGCCCGGCGGCGGCGAGGCGGAACGCGATGGCGCGGCCGATGCCGTCGGTGGCGCCCGTCACGACGGCCCAGGCGCCGTAGCGGCGGCGCAGGGGCTTGCCCGGGCGGAGGAACGCGGCGTAGACCCAGAGCGCGAAGCGGACGGCGGCGCGGAGTGCCACGAGGAGGCCCACGGCCGCCAGCGCCAGCGCCCACGCCGGCTGCGCGCGGAGGAACTCGACGTGAGCGCACGTGCCGGCCATGGCTGGCGTCGTCGGATTTTGGGGAGCTGGAGGAGCTGGATCACTGGCGGTCGATGAGATGCGGGTGTGCCTGCCCGGTGTCGAGCTTTGGACGGGACTTATAACTTATAAGTGGGACGGCCTTTCTCCGGCGGTGGGTGGAACTGGTGTACCAAGACTAAGGGCCTGGTTAGATTTAAAAAAAATTTGTACGGTATCCGTCACATCGAATCTTGCAGCACATGCATAGAGTACTAAATGTATATGAAAAAAAAATTAATTATACAGTTAGGTGAGAAATCGTGAGACAAAACTTTTGAATCTAATTAGTCCATAATTAGACACTAATTATCAAATACAAACGAAATGCTACAGTGAACCAAAATCCAAAAAAAAAAATTGGATCTAAACAGGGCCTAACCGAACACGAACTGAAATCTCTCCTCCATAGAGTTCGTATCGACGGACAGATTTCAAATTGGATTTTAAGAAGTTCCGGCAGTGGTATTTTTATTAGAAAAAATATAAAAATAGATAAATATTCGTTGCTGACTTGATTGCTTTTTTTAGAGGACGATTTTGATTGCATTTTCAACAGACAATTTCCAAATTGGATTTTATAAGAAGCTCGTGTAGTGGTACTCTACTACTCTTATTAGAAATACAAAATTGAATAAATATTCGTTGCGGAATACAAAAAAAAAAGCATTGACGAAAAAAAATGCGAGTCAAAGTAGCAATCTTTACATGGGATGGATCATAACATAGGCCTTGTTTAGATAGCTGTTATGAATCAATATTTGACACTGTAGTACTTTCGTTTGTATTTGACAATTATTGTCCAATCATGGTCTAACTAGGCTTAAAAGATTCGTCTCGTAATTTACAATCAAACTGTGTGATTAGTTATTTTTTTATCTATATTTAATACTCCATGCATGTGTCCAAAAATTTGATGTGATGAAGAGAGAGTGAAAAAACTTGAATCTAAACAAGGCCATAGCAGGGGATTTCAGAATAAAGTACATACACACACCCTCTCTCACGCCACACTCTTTGGACACGTCAAATTCATCAACGGAACCGTTGACGTGTGTGGTAGGCTCACCGCCCAGCCCAGTCAGCCGGTTTGCGTGCGGACTGCGAACTGAATTTGCAGAAGAACTGCGACTGCGAAGGCAAGCAGGCCAGCAGCGGCAGGCAGAGAACAAAACGCAGGTAGGGTTGACGTTCGCTGGCATCCGGAGGCCGGAGCAAATGCAAATCAGAGGCAACCCGAGTCCACGGTGCACCGGGCGCATCTTGGCTCTGCTGTGGACTGTGGTAAACTGTGGAGAGGCCGAGAGGGACTGCGGCAGCCTGAGTGCTGAGCTAGACGATGGGGACAGCGGGGCTGGCAGGCAGGTTGGGTTTGATGAGCTGAAATTAACCGTTGGGGATGTGGTCGCCGGTGGCGGGCGGAAATCCCAACCCCTCTCGCCCTCTGCACCGCACGGGCACGGGCGCACGGCCCCGTCCCGCCCTGCTCTGTGCTCGCTGTCCGTCGAGTTCGAGTCGAGTCGAGGCGTCGTGCTGAGTGCCTGACTGCTGAGACGCCAGCGGCCAGCGGGGAGTGGCGTTGCGAGCCGTGCCGGGCACTGGCACTCTGGCAGTGGCAGCATTAACGCACGCGCGGCGCGGCCTCATAAAATCGGCTTCAATCCGGGCAGGGGCAGGTGGGAGAGGGAGAGGGGATCGTCAATGCGGGCGGCTAGCAGCAGCAGCAGCAGCGCGTGGGCGTTGGGCAGCCACCGGCGCGGACGGAGACGCCGAGTCGAGTCTTGTCGCCGCGAATCTTTTAGCGATGACGTCGCTTCCGTAATCAGGATGGTTTGGTTGTCCAACGCGTCCGCGCGCGGCGGTCAGCAACTGTGCTTTGCTTTCCAGTCCAGCGTTTCCACCCGGCGGCCACGGGCCACCGCCTCCACGGCACAGGACAACAGATGCGATGCGAGCATCTGTGGCTTTTATTTGAGGACAGCAAGAACATAACCCTGTGCTATCACTGTCACGGAACAACGGAAGGTTCATTTACAAGGTTTATTACCATCACAGTCCATGCGCTGCGGCTCAACATCCTCGTATTGCATGCATTTTCTCTAGGAAAGCATGCTTAACCTTGTCGCAACTCGCAAAGTATATATATCAAGGATTTTAATTAGGTGTAAAAACGAATCCAATAGAGGCAAGAACAATAGTGACAGTAATATTATATATAGAAATATTTATCAAGTTCAGTCATGCCATGGTCGAAATATTACCAGGGTCAGGCAGCAGAGAGCAAAAGCGACCCTGGCCAGCGCATGTGGTCTTAACCGTCTCATCGCTACATCGTCACGGTTCATGGTTACGCGCTACTACACTACACAGAACAAACGTATCAGTTCCAACGACAACGACTGATAAATATGATAGGTGCAGGTGCAGTCCCAGGCTCCCAGCCTGCCTGACTTCTAGAGTTAGGATGTGGATCGTCAAAAGTTCACCAGTCACTGCCCACGCAGAAACGCCAGATCCACATGGTTTTCCCACGACTTCCTGCAAAAACGGCAGATCCACATTGTATTCACAAGATCTGCCTAGTAGTTCGACTGAAGCATGCTTTCCTGAGGCCTGCACACTCGCAAGTCGCAAAGGGTTATTAGGGAAAGAACAGAAGAGTCAGCTATTGTCTCAGTTGATTGATTGATAGGTAAAAAAATCACAAAGTTTAGCCCACCTAAGAGAATTGCACCGATGAAGTGGGATTTTAAATTTTACCACGCATCCGGACAGAGTACACCGGCTCATCATCGTCTGATTCCTTAATAAGCTCGCAGACATCCCCGGTCTGGAGGTTGTTTGCTGCAACAAAATGTTTCCAGCCCGCCGTGAATCCCACAAATATTGGGCTGTCATGGTAAATAATAGGCCATAATCTCTTCATGGGATCCTTCAGCATTATAACATCCCAATGATGCCTTCTCTGTCTAACTGCACTGGAAAGCGACTTGGATAGGTCCTGGGGGAATATTGATCAGAAACACCTTCAGCGATGTGATCAGAAACTTACTTAAGAGCTTAGAAACTATGAACAGGTGAATGAGGCCAACGAAGCATCAAACTGGAATAATCTAATAGCCCCAACAAATAAGGACGGAACTGTCATCAGAACAATATTTAGAGAGATAAAATCTAATATTGTTAGACATCAATACTTATTACAGCATATACTCTATAAGCAGTCTTAAAACAAGTGGTACAAATCCGCACACCATGATCTCAGCAGATCAACATGTTTTACAACAACCTATTGAGGGATTTAGGCAACTAGAAAGATTATGAACTTCAGGTCCAAACCCCGTAAGTATAAAAAGGCGTTACTCTACAGTTTTTAAACAGTTCAAGTGATGCTAGTAGTATTGTGGCCCCATTAAATTGTATGCTTCCATTTGCACAATCCACAACCTCTACATCATCATGGCCACAATAACAACCATCCATTGTTCAAAACCGCCAGTAATTGAATAATATTAAATTAGTGAATATTCGGTCGCTGTTTGTGGGGTTTTTTTTGGTGAGTCCTTGGGGAGCAAGAGGTCACAACTCCATAATTCTTCCTTTTTGCAAGGATGCTTTTGATTGCACCAATACGAAAGTACAAAAGATATACAGGCATTAGTGAAAGAAGACTATTTATGGAATCTGCACAACTCACAAGCCATTTCTGAGTGGTATCAGGAATGCACAGTTGCGAGTTGATCTCTGGTGGAGAATGATAATCCAGCTTCAGAATTTCGTCCTTCATAGGCAACAAAGGCTCTGGGACCTCAGTGTTACTAGACATTCTACTTTCCTGTTTGGAGGAAGGATGTTCTGCATGGATTAATCCAACAGACTAATTAGAAACACGTTATCCAATCAGAAACCCACTCTTTAATTTTATATACAAACAAAACAAGTTACCCACTCTTTAATTTTACATTGAAACAAAACAAGATAAAATAAGCTCACCTGATTCGTTGGCACGTAGAACAATGTTGCAACTTTTGCTGCGTACACTCACTGGCTCCACTTGATCCATTTGGATTTCAAATTGAACAGTAGTTCCTACCAAACATAGATTCAATAATATGCTATAAACAACAATTATCTCCACAATAAACAACCAAGAGAACTTTAAAAGAAAAACAGTTGAAGTAATAATACTAGAAAGTTAAGAGCACATCCCCACCTTTTCCATTGACATTATGTTCGATCTCTTTCGTGCTACTGCTGCATTTGGATATTTCGTCAGGACTTGAGGTTTTCTCAATGGGCCCAGTGAACATTGATTCAATAAAGGCACAACTTCCTTCAGACCCAATAGGGGTTAGTCCTGGTGCACCATCCTTACCTGGAACTACAGGGTTCGCACACAGCGGGACATTGTTACTTAGGCTATGTACAATGCTTCCCATAGGTTCCAATCCTTCCCCTTTTGCTTCAAGTAGAACAGAAGCACCTATAGAATGATGTAGAAATTAGTTATTTCTACTACAAAAATCATTTACCTCCACGATAAACTCTTTTTTGAATGAAACAGCACAACTCGTATCCACCTCAATGCATGTGTATTGGAGTGGATTAGGATGTAAGTTTAATTTCCACCCTAATCCACTCCAGCACATGTGGATTACATGTGGATTGAGGTAGATACGAGTGCATCCAAACAAACCCTATAATGGTAGCAATCATAAAAAAATTATGAGATGAATCAGACCTCCATCTTTCTCATTGATGCTATAGTCGATCTCTGTCCCATCGTGTCCGCAATTGGTTACTCTATCAGCACTTGATGGTTCTTTGATGGGCATGGTGAATATTGGTTGGACACATTCATGATTGCCCTCGGAACAAATGTACTCATCTACAGGGTTTAGTTCAATTGAACCATAACCATCAACCAACATGCTGTCATTTTTTTGTGGGTTTTCAGGTTCAATCGGTACAGTGCAATCAAGAGATGCTTGATTGTTCACAACATCCTTCCTCCACTTCTCCAAGCAGCGAAAACCTCCAGGAGCTTCATATTTTCTGTAAAAGTTTTGGATAATGTTCGTCTTGCTATGATTATGATAATCTACCACAGGCGTGACAGAATCTAAAGGAATGGCATTTGTTCTTTGCTTTCTTCCTAAATCTTCATCTGAATCATGTAAATCCAAGAGATCTGTAGCAGTTATAATTATTTGAGATCTTGTTTTTCTTTCGCTGCATGTTGTTGAAATGGACTTGGTTCCGCACTCAATTTCAGGGGAACTCCCCTTCTCGTCAGCTAGTATAACTGAGGGTCCATTCCCAATGCCACTCTGAGCTCTTATAGGGTCTTCATTGGTATTAACAGCCACAAGACTTGTATCTGAATCTGCACCTGATGTGGCTAGCTTCATTGTATCCCCATTTTCATGCTCCAAAGGTTCAGAATCTTCAGAATCTATAAGCATAATTAGTGTTTTTCCTTTGCTGCACAGCGGAGAAGTACCCTTTGTTTTGCACTGTGGATCAATCAAATTTCCATCGTTATCTTGTGCCACTAGTCCAGATCCAACCACATGTTCAACTGGTTTAGGGTATTTTTTTGTATTGTAAGTCACATGACCAGTTTGAGGCACTTTGGTCCTGGGATTTTCGCCAGAAACATAGTTTCCATTATCTATGTTTTCTGAACTACCATTGTTCAAGACCAAATCATCAGGTGACATATTACTCCATGTCTGTTTCTTTCTTTCACCTTTAGTTGTGCTCTCAGCATTGAAGTAGAGTCTTTCACTAGAGTCTGTACCAAAAACCCGCACAGAAAATGTACTCTCAGCAATATACTCAAACAACAGAAACTCACCCCATTTAATCAAATGGTTTGAAACAAAAATATCCCATCCCTGATCAAAAGCAAGGGAACCAGCGACCTTCGATACCATGACCACTGAACATTTTCCTTCTGAATCTTTAAGAAATACAAGATGATTAGTCAAATACTCCAATCTGGGTGCAACAGTTAGTGGTATCACCTGCACAAATATATGCATGTACATGATGTTTGGTAGGAACCATGACATAACACAAAGAAAAGAAAAGGATACTATAATGAATCCAGACATGTCAAAAAAATGATATAGCACTACATGCTGTTTTTATCTAATTAAAAGGGCGCGAATGTAAAAAAAAAAAACTAGCCCAAGCCGTGGAATCGGCATGTATTCAGAACATTTTTTTTTCTACCTATTAATGAAATGATACACAGTCCTCCTGCGTGTACGAGAGAAAAAAAGAACTGTAATGGAAAGCAGCAAGAAATAAAACCATACCATAAATTTCTCGAAATTGTTGCACATGACTTTAAAAAATGCGAATGAAGCCTGATTAACCTTTTCCTTGCCGCAGCTAAATATTTTCATTTCCTTCATCTTGGCACCGTGAATCTTCTTATCACTATCATTGCACTGCATCTTCTTTTTTCTCTTCAATTGTGTGTGTGGTAATTTCCTCTTCCCTATTTTATAGTTAGAGTGACTTGATATATCCATCTTCTCGTTGGATACATCAAGTGGCACATTTCTCCCATTCTGTCGGTCATGTCTCATCTTAATCTCCATGCTCTCAGTCGTCCTCATTTTCTTCTCTTTAACAGCAGATGTGATTGGCGCAGTCTCCTTCTCACTGTTGGTATTGTTTGGCCTTTTCCTTTTCTTTTCTTTATCACAAAATGTTGTGGACATCTTCCCCTTGTTCACTCCACTGTCATAATTCCTCATCTTGCTGTCATCAGCCTGCATCTTCTTCTCTCTGTGTGTTTTGTTCAGCTTTTCCTTATTCTTCTCCTTCTCAGATAATGTGGTTGACACCTTCTTGCTCTTCACCTTACTATCAGAGTTACTCATAATCCTCCCTTCCTCGCCATCATCCCTTTGCGTATTCTTCCCAGTGCTGGCATTGGGAAGTTTTTTCTTCCTCTCCTTCTCAAGGGATGCAGTGTTGACCTTTTTCTTACCCTTTATCTTATTGTAGTCATTCGATATAATCGTCCTTTTCTTGTCCAGGTCAACACCCATCATCTTCTTGCCTTTTGTTTTGTTCAGGTCATCCTTTTCCCTCCCCTTCTCACATAATGTGGCAGGCACCCTGCTCTTCTTTATCCTTTGGTCCCCATTCCGTATGTCCCTATCCTTCCCATGGTTGGCACTGCACAAATGCTCCTTTTTCTTCCTCTTCTCTGTGAAGGCATCAGCGGACGTCTTCGTGTTCTTTACCACAGTGTCATCATCCCGCATCTCATCATTGGCACTGCCGTGACTCGGCTTCCGGCGGGCCGAATCAGGAGCAGAGCCGATCATCCCCACCAATATTTCGTTTCCTCCTCCCCTGATCTAAGGATGACACCACCAAAAACACCAAAAAAAAAAATTGATCAGGCACTAGAGAAAGTCATCAAGACCAACAGCAATAAGGTTACTAGTAAAACAAAGACGCAAACCCTCCAAAAAAAATGACTGCAATGCAGAAATTTCTACATCGAGAAAAAAACCCATCAAACTCCGCTGAAACCACATTAAACATATCCAAAAAAATCAAAGTCCAGAAAACAAAACAAACAATACCATCCGATTTTATTATACCACAAACTGATCGAACACAAATCCGAAACGAAATCAATAAACTCGAACTCTAGAGTTCCGGGAAAAGTAGAAGAATACCTGTGCAGATGATCAATAAAAGCCCGATACGCTGACATTCAAGACATGTCGCCGATCAGATCGCCTGCCTGATGAGACGACAGTAAAATGCACCTTCTTGTTGAGTTGATTGGTCGAAGAAGACTTCGATCGCTGAGCTCCAGTGGTGCCGCGCCGGTACTTCCCCGCGGAGTAGTCGAGGTTCAAGACTAGGGAAGGGGATAGAGGATCATAGGGAGCAGAACTGGAAGACACCGATGGGTTCACGTGGACCCCGATCCTCGAGCACCTCGGATGGCCGACGCGTGGAGCTCCCTGTGATCGAACGCGCGCGAGATGGAGCACCTCCCGCGTGGGCGTGGCTCGTTCGTTGCTCGGCTCGCTCGCGTGGACGAATCAGCTCGCACGACACTGGCTGCCATGAATGCGGCTTGCCAGGCCAGTCATGAATGCGGCTTGCCAGGCCCCAGCCCTTGATCTTCCACCGCTGCCGCCGGCCGCCGTTTGGTTGGCTGGTTCAATATCGCTGGTTCGTGAAGAAGCGTCGTTGGTTGATTTATGTAAGAGAAAAATATTATTTTGGTTTGAAATTTACGATCGTTTATGATAAGTCATAGCTAAACGAATAGCCTGTAGTCCAGCCCTTGATCTTCATGCTGGTCGTGAGAAGAGAAACTAGAAGCTTGCTTGGTTGAACACCAATCTTTGCCTGTTTGCCACGTTAATTTTATGGCAAAATTAAAATATAGGTAATACCAATATTAGAGCAAACCAATATTTTGATAAAGCAATCAAAGTTGGTACTTGGTCTGCTACCAGCAAAAAAAAAATTGTTTTTGCCAAAATTTTGAAAAGAATTGTCAATATTTTGACACCAAACCAATCGTATGCCAAATTGCCATGTTTTGGTTGGTAAAAATTGGCTTTGCAATCAAGCAGGCCCTAGCCTCTTTCGCTTGAACAAAAAATCTTAAAGAGGCTCACCAACGGTAGATCAAGATGCCACACTAAGCCTATTTCACTAGGAAGCATATCAATACCGTGCCAAAGGGTCTCTAGCCTAGCATGGTGGTTCGAGCACGTGGGTAGCATCCAGCAGGCCTGAGTTCGACTCCCTGTAGGAGTGAATTTAAACAGGTCTAGAATAAAAAAATAAAAAAATAGGTTGGGTTTCCTGCTGACTTTGGTCAAAAAAGCATATTAATATCGTTTTCGTACTGGTAGTCTGTATAAATGTTCGGTATATCTCTTGTACATAATACCGATGGTTCGACTGGTACGAAGACATAGTCATTTCATAACGGTCTCAATATCAATCGATATTGATCATTACTGACTATTCTGACTAATAGCGCCCATAACGGTCATAGAGTACTAACTAAAAATCAAGTAATAATTCATTCAATGCACAATTTTATGAATTTATTTTTTAGATAATAGATAAACATCTGGCTTCATCCTCGCTCATAACACACTCATGCTTAAAAGTATACTGCAAAAAGAGTGAGGAATCAGATTATATTATTACAAAGAAGTTCTCACACTCATGCTTAAAACAGACTCACAAAAAAGACAAAAAATCATTTCGTAATTCTAAACATAATGGGTCATCCATAATAAGAGGAAAAAAGGCCAAAGTCGATGTCTCCAGGGACCGACCAGCCTTGAATGTATTATTTCTTTTCTTAACTTCGCTGCAACTGATCCTAAAATCAGAACTAATGTGTTCCCCTAAATAAGACCTACAGAACCGCACGTGTCAAAAACACTATCATTTCTAGTCATCCATAAGGACCAAAAGAAGACAGTCACCCCTGCTAGTAATAACAAGCTTGAATTTTTTCCACACTACTTATACCAATTTCATGAATTTGTTGAGTTATACGATAATATCTCAAACAAAAACCTATGTATGTTTAGAATAAGTAATATATTATTTCCACCATCCCAAAATAAATGACTTCGCATGATTCAAATTTGTCTCAAAATACTTGATATTATAGTGTATCTTTCTCTTTTCCCAATATATTTTTCTCTTTTCTCAGTACATATCTATCTTTCTTCTTCTTCTTTTTTGTGCATCATACCTTTTTCACTCCACAAAAATAATCTTGTGCCCTGACCAATAAGGTCATCTATTTTAGTGCAAAGAAAGTATATATAATTACTAAGTCTAGAACAATATGTCGGTACTGACCAGAACGTTCTCTTCCAAGAGAAAAATAAAATAATCTCATTAACAGATATGTCAAAACCACAACAAAGCATAACATGCAGCACAGACACACATTTTTCTCTTTATACATCCTGCCAATGCACCATACCATAGGAAATCAGTAGCCCATCACATAAAAATGCATAAAATACAGGGGCGCAAAACCACATACATGAGATGGAATCGTCCAACCCTGAAAAAGTAAAAACAAGGACATAAAAATGGTCAAATTAGAGCTAAAGGCCAACCGCACAGTTAGATCCCTCAAAAGCAAAACGAAAATACTTCGGGTATGACATCCAAACAAAACTCTACCTCTTCCTATTGAATCAGTTTGTGAATGGCCCAATATTCTCCTCAACTGCTTCTCTCTCCAACGATTGCTCTCAGTCACTCCCATCTAACGTGCCTGCCCTGCATATTGTGTTTGCTCGTCTGATGCCCACCTTCTCCCTTGTGAAAGGTCCTAATATGGCTAGAGGGGGGGGGTGAATAGCCTATTTAAAAATCTACAAATCAACTAGAGCAATTTGATTAGTATGACAAATAGCGTAATACAAACTTGCTCTAGCTCTACAAGGGTTGCAAGCCACCTATCCAACAATTCTAGTTGCAATGAATACTTAGGCACACAAACTAGCTATGTAATTACTCACTAAGAGCTCTCAACCTTGCTACTCTAAAGAGCTCAACTAGATGAATGTAAATAATAAAGCAAGCTCTTAATTCTAATTATACTAAAGAGCTTGTATCAACTAGTTTGCAAGAATGTAAATGAGTGAGTAGAGTGATTATACCGGACGTGTAGGGGATGAACCAATCACAAGATGAATATATAGCCAATCGCGGGAGAATGACAAAGAAGAGAGACAATCGATTTTCTCCCGAGGTTCACGTGCTTGCCAACACGCTTACGTCCCCTGTTGTGTCGACCAACACTTGGTGGTTCGGCGGCTAAGAGGTGTTTCACAAACCTCGTCCCACACGATTGACACCGCAAGAACCGACCCACAAGTGAGGTAACTCAATGACACGAGCAATTTACTAGAGTTACCTTTCGGCGCTCCGCCGAAAGGTACAACTTCCTCACAATCACCGGCGGCCACGAACAATCACCAACTCGTGCCGATCCTTCACCGCTGCTCCAACTGCTCTAGGTGGTGGCAACCACCAAGAGAAACAAGCGAAATCATAAATAAGAACACGAATACCAAGTGCCACTAGATGTAATCACTCAAGCAATGCACTTGGATTCTCTCCCAATCTCACAATGATGATGGATCAATGATGGAGATGAGTGGGAGGGCTTTGGCTAAGCTCACAAGGTTGCTATGTCAATGAAAATGTGCAAGAGTTTTCCCTGAGCCGCCATAGGGCTATAAATAGAGCCCCTATTAAATAGAGCCGTTGTACCCTTCATCATCGGCAAAACACGCCTCGACCGGACGCTCCAATCATACCGACGACGGACGGCTGGCCCTCGGCGTCCGGTCGCTTCGATGGACGCTTCGCTGGCCACCACCCTTCAAACGCTGTTCACGATTTCAACGGCTCTGAAGGCGACCGGACGCTCGAGAAATCGACCGGACGCTGAAGCCCCAAAGATCCGGGCGTTTCCATAAGCTCCCCGAGGCGTGTTTTTTCGACCGGACGCGTCCGGTCCACCTTGACCGGACGCAGACCAGCGTCCGGTGCTCAACCTACCCATCGTGTTGCTCGACGACTCGACCGGACGCAGCCTTTTCAGCCGTCCGGTCATTGAGTGACTCAAATGTCCGGTCAGTAGACCGACGCCAACATCATTTCGACCAACTCCATTTCAACTCTAACTTCTTCACCCTTGCTCAAATGTGCCAACCACCAAGAATTTTGCATCCGGCGCAATAGAAAATAGACATTTCATTTTTCCAAAAGCGCCACCCAAAACCCATCTCAACCACCGCAAACACCTTGTGCACATGTGTTAGCATATTTTCACAAATATTTTTATGGTGTTAGCACTCCACTAGATCCTAAATGCATATGCAATGAGTTAGAGCATCTAGTGGCACTTTGATAACCGTGATTTCAATACGAGTTACACTCCTCTTAATAGTACGGCTATCTATCCTAAATGTGATCACACTCACTAAGTGTCTTGATCACTAAAACAAAATGGCTCCTACATTTTATACCTTTGCCTTGAGCCTTTTGTTTTTCTCTTTCTTCTTTTCCAAGTTCAAGCATTCGATCATCACCATGCTATCACCATTGTCATGATCTTTGTCATTGCTTCATCACTTGGAGTAGTGCTACCTATCTCATAAACATCTTGATAAACTAGGTTAGCACTTAGGGTTTCATCAATTAACCAAAACCAAACTAGAGCTTTCACTTTGCCACCACATCTGCTTGATGGCGCCTGCCCACTTTCCTCCCTTGCCACCGTGCCCGCTCGACCATACTTGGGAGTCACATGCTTGGTGTCTAGCATCTACAATCGATATATACTAGTTGACTGCTCATCCCAGGGAAGAGCTTGAGCTTCCTCCACCTTTTGAACTAGATTCAGCAAAAGGGCAAGATGACCATGGCAATGTGGGGGCAAGCTAGCACTCCCCTCATAAATCTCCTTTTTCTATGGTGGAGATGAGGACATGCTAGAGAGATAGTGGATGTTGAGAAGAGGGTGAGGGTCACGCCACCTGGGGGCTGGATTTCCTCTTCATCAAGACATGTTGCATCGTAGCACATGATTTCTAATGTTCCGACATTTGATTTTAGAGGATTCATTCATGTTGTAGTAGCTCTAACTAGATGTTCTAATTTGGAGTTGATTTTTTGTTATAATTGAATCACATAATAAGCAGATTTTGATATGTTCCTATCAAGATGGAGATGAAATGATTTTCTCTAGATGTTACTAATTTATTTTTATCAGGATGGAGATGGATATCGATGTGTTTTTCCGATGTTACAAGAGCCTATTTTTCAATGTTGCAACAAGTGATTTATTTTGTTTTGAACATTCTTCTACTATGTTGCACGCTTGCAGCAGGATTCCTCTTAGTATTTTATATGGTGATTTTAGATGTTGCAACATGATGTAGCTACCTACGTATCTCTCTTCTGCTCTCTGCCTCGTTAAGGTCCAAACAGTACGACACAATGCGAGGTGAATACTGTGTTCGCACTTTAGCGAGCATATGCCGGTATAATGTTGACCATATGTATGGGAAAGGATGCAGTATACGACGCATGCAACATTCTGAAAAAGGTATTGATACAATATTAAGATAGAATTACCGCAACATCACTATATCTGATGCGAAGGTTGCGTGAGGGTGGTGATACCTAGGTAGGAAGCATGCCATAGAGTGGCTAATAACTAGAGCAAGTCAAGTGATGGGCGTGATGACCAAAACATTATACTGCAAGGTGAGGTGGAGGAAAGAGGTAAGCTAGCTTGGCGTTGCAGTCGTCAACCACCCGTAGATGCATGTCTTTGATACTTGTAGATGCACTATGTATAAAAGCGCGTGAAAAGTAAATCTGTTATATGTGCTGGTCTCTAAACTTGTGTGAAAATAACACGTATGCTCTAATAACCAAATGTTTGCCTCAACAGTAAAACTTGCTCTTAGAGTCTAGACTAAAATCTAACGTGTTGGAAAAAACGTTGATCACTGTCATACAACCACTCTAGGATGACTACGTGACTAATGTGCTCGGTTCGTACCGTGAAACCGTCCAAAATCATCAGACCAAACCTCAACCCTAATCGAAGCGTTTGGTTTGCGTCTTGGAACGGAGTCGTCCGTCTCCAAGCCACTTTGCCAAGTCCAACGAAAAGACAAATTATTTTGGACGAGATCATTCCTTTGAAAAGCACCGGACGACCTGTTCCACGCTGCACCATTCCATTCCCGATCAGTTCAATCTCCGAACCAAACACGCTTGTACGTGAGAATCCATCGAGACATCCGGTGCCAGCGAGTCCCAAAGTGCAAACGTGACCTAGCCCGTGTTTAGTTCGCAAAAAGTTGGAAATTTGGCTACTGTAGCATTTTCGTTTTTATTTGACAATTAGTGTTCAATCATGGACTAATTAAGCTCAAAACGTTCGTCTCGCAATTTCCAACCAAACTGTGTAATTAGTTTTTTTTTGTCTACATTTAATACTCCATACACGTATCGCAAAATTCGATGTGATAAATACTATAACACTTTTTGAAAAAACTTTTCGCGAACTAAATAACTAGCCATGCGTCTCTGACCATCCCCCGTGTTTCCGGGTCAACGTCTCAACGAGGCACAAATCCATCTTGGGCTGCGCAGTTCCTGCGGGGTGCACCAAGCACGTACTCGCGCGCCGACAGGTGGGCCCTCGGTCGCCGAGCCGCTGACATTAGTGGAATAGCCACATATTGACAAATCACTCAGCCAGCTCTCCCACTGCCACCTGGGACCCATGTGTAAGCTCTACAGCTGCAGACGCCGGGACTGGCCCACAACCCATCGTCTCCACCGAACCAGACATTCCACCCGACTCGCTGCTCTCCCCCGCATAGCCGATGGCTTGATCGGATCCCCCGCCCGGCCCAGATCTGTCGCCGCCGCCGCCGTCGCCATGGGCGACCACTCCGACTCCGATTCCTCCCCCAAGTCCTCCTCCTCCTCGTCCTCCCCCTCCGCCCGCCGCCGTTCCTCGCCGCAGCGCGGCCGGGCCCACTCTGACGAGAGCGGCAGCAGCGACGGCGTCCTCGTCGAGCTTCCTGCCCAGGTATGGCGCGAAGCCACCTCCGCTCGGATACCACGGGTTCGGACCGACGGCTTCTTAGAGAAGCTTCTCTCGCTCTGCAGGAGGCGCGGAGCCCCGGGGCCGACCCTGACGGCGGCGTCCTCGTCAACATGCCCGCTGACGACGCCACCAGCGGCGAGACCTTCGAGGACGCCCCCGACGATCTCGCGGCCGCCGGCTCGCGCTCCGCACGCTCGCTGGACGAGTCCATGGCCGTCATCGACTTCCCTGAGGTGTCCAGCACCAGCGCCGAGCTCCGCAAGTACCAGGTGCTGCTTCCTCTTTCCTCTCCGATCGGATTATATTGGTTTTGTGCGTGATTTTGCTGCGGAAGCTCTAGTTCGTGATGTGACGAACAATGGTTTCTGTTTAGGAAGAGAAGGAGGTGTTTGCGCGGGAGGCGGTGGCACTCCGGAGGTTGCTACAGGAGATGGTGGGGCAGGAAGCTTCAGTTGCGTTGCATGGAGAGGACGCTGATGAGACACTGTTGCATTCGATGCTGGACGACTGCTCGAGGCTTGTGCTTGAACTTAACTCGGTGGCACGGGCAAGGGAGCAGGAGATTGAGAGCCTACATGCAAGGGCTGCAGAGGCAGAGGTATCAAGGGAGGTTGCTAATGTATACCTGGGTTCGTGGAGAGAAGGGTCTGAGCAAGCTGTTGGGCGGATGCTTGCATCAATTGATGCTGTCGTTAGGCAAGATGATGCCAGCTTTGAGGGTGCTGTGCAGGATGGGATTTCTATTCTGGAAAGGAAGACTTCATTGCTAGTGGAGAGGTACAGGCAGGTCTCACTGGGTATTGAACAGCTTGAGCAAATTTTAGCTGAGGTGAAGCCTGGTTTCGTGGCCACAGGGCATGGTGACCTTGCTACCATCTTAAGTATTCTTGCAGATGAATTGGTTGGTAGCAAGAGAAATGAGGTGGATTTACTGCAGAAGATGAATGCTTTTGCTGAAGAGAAGAAGTCTCTTGCTGACGAACTTGAGGAAGTGAAAGCTGCTAGGAATGCAGCGAATGCTGAGGCAAGCAAAGCAAAGGCAGAGTCTGAGCAGATGGAGCATAAGTTATCAACGACTAAGGAGAAGCTCAGCATGGCTGTTACGAAGGGCAAGTCACTGGTGCAACACCGTGATTCCTTGAAGCAGGCCTTGGCTGAAAAGACGGGTGAGCTTCAGAGTTGCATGGCAGAGTTGCAAAAGAAGTCTGATGCCCTGCAAGCAGCTGAGAGCAGGGTTGAGGAGCTAAGGGTTTTTCTAGATGAAAAGACAGATGAGCATGAAAAGTGCTTGGATGAGCTTCGAGAAATATATAGTGCATGGGAAGCTGCTAAGACGAGCATCGAGCAACTAAATGAAGCAAACGGTGCCCTTACTTCTCTGCAGGCTTCTCTTTCACTAAAGGATGGGGTTCTTGAACGCATTGAGGAGATCATGTCAGAGGCAACATTTCCAGAAGGTCTTCTTTCCTTGGAGATGACAGACAGGTTGGGATGGTTAGTTGAGCAGAAGAAAATTGCAGATATGATCTTCTCAGAGCACCACAAAGTTAAAGAAATCTTGAGCTCAGTTGACATTCCACATTCGGTCTTAGCCGCTGAACTTGATTGCCAGATCAGTTGGCTTGCCAGCTCACTGAACCAGGCCAAAGATGATGCGGTCCGGTTGCATGATGAGTCTGCTGAAATGTTGGCTAGACTGGCTGCACATGAATCAAAGTTGGTTTCAATGCATGAGGAAATTGACCGTTTGACAATTATTCTACTGGAAGAGAAACAGGAAAAGGATATTCTTGTAAATGAACATTCTGAATTGATGTCCCTATACAACGCTGCTGTTAATAAGTTGGCCCTTGTCTCATCACAAAATAATGAGCTGCTAAAGGCATTTGCGGAATTTTCTGATGTCACATTGGAGGGTAGTGAGCCTATGGATATTGCCGAATTGGTACAGGGCCTCAGAAACATCCAACAAAGAACAAAATCTTCTCCTATCGAGAGTGACATTTTTGAGAAGCTACAGGCATTACTATATACCCTAGATCAGGAATCAACACTATGTAAGATGATTCTCGAGGAAGACATGATTGACAGATCTGAGAGGACTGGTGAACTGCAAAGAACGGCCGAGGAGATTCTTGTTCTGAAAAATGAGAAGGTGTCACTGCAGAAGGAGCTCGAACGGGTGGAGGAGAGATCAGCATTGCTTAGAGAGAAGTTGTCAATGGCTGTAAAGAAGGGCAAGGGTCTGGTACATGAGCGCGAAGGACTCAAGCAAGCCCTTGACGAGAAGAGCTCTGAAATAAAGAATTTGAAACAAGTTTTGGAAGGGAAGAGCTCTGAGATAGAGAAGCTAAAGCATGCTCTGGATGAAAATAAGTCTGCAACAGACAATGTGAAGCAAGTTTTGGATGGGAAAAACTCTGAGATTGAAAGGCTTAAACATGCTCTGGATGATAGTTGTGTGGAAACAGAAAACCTAAGCCAAGCTTTTGTTGAGAAAACCTCCGAAGCAGATAAAATAAAACAAGAACTGGATGCAAAGAACATGGATATTGAGAATCTAAGACGTGAGATAGAGTCAAGAGAATCTGCCATGACAGATCTCAGAGAGCACGTTGAGCATCTATCGTTGCAGGCTGCACATTTGGAAAAGCTGCAAGTAGATATTGTTACCCTTAATGATGAAAAGGTGAAATTAGAAAGCATGTTGGAAGAAGCCAGAGCTTCCTGGGGCACTCTTGCTGATTCAATATCAAGCCTTACTCTTCCTATTGATCAGCCTTTTGAGGAGCCTATGGAAAAGTTTAGCCAGATTGCCCAATATGTCCAGGAATCTCAAGCTGCTAAGAGTTCTCTTGAAAATGAGCTACACAAAGCAAATGAGCAAATTACCTTACATGCTAGCAGGCATTCTGATGCCCTTTCCACCATAAACATGTTAGAAGATGAGTTGGATAAACTAAAAGATCATATTTCTTCCATTTCTGAAGAAAAACGTCAAATACAGTTACATACTTCTGCTGTACAGGAGGAGTTGGAGAAAACAAATGAGGAACTGGCAATCAATTTCAGGAATCTTGAAGATGCCAACACCACCATTAATTCACTACAAGATGCACTATCACAGGCTAGATCAAATATTTCTATTCTTGACGCTGAAAAGAATGAAGCTGAAGCTAAATATGAAACAGAAATCAATGCTCTTAATGCTAAGCTAACCAAATGTTTGGAGGAGTTGGATAAAACTCACGGGCACTTACAAAGTCATTCAACAGAACATCATGGTTACCTTGAGAAGCTTGGCATGCTTATAATGGATGATAGTCTCTTGTCTCTGATAGCTGAAGAATATGGAAAGACAATCAGCAGCTTGAGAGATATGTGCCTTATAGTCAAGAGTATGCATGAGCAGCTTTCTGTGAAGGGTTTTCAGAATGATCCAATTGTGGAGGTAATTTTTTCCTTTTGATGATGCATTTTTTAGGATTCTCTGTTCTGTGCAGTGAAGTGAGATAATTTGTTGGTTTATTCATCTTGTTGGCTTTGTCTAATCATCATAGTTTCTAATCTAGTTCTGTGTTATCAGGCCTGTCAACTTTGTAATGTTATTCTCATTGTGTGCAATTGCTTCCCAAAAGTAAACAAGATAGCTGAACGAGTAAGAGTAATCTAATTAAGAGCGGTCAACATGGCGCATCTGATCTTGCTAGTAAGATAATTTAGGGCGATGATTGGAATCCTCTGTTAAGTATTAACATGGCCATCTAGATTCACTTACTACATTATTTTGCCTGCATGTTGCGCAAGCGATGAAAGAGGTGGATCTTAATCAATTGTAAACTCCCCTCCCCATCTTAGAATATACCTTTTCCTCTTTGTTTCCCTTTAGTTTGCTTTATAATTCTTGCCAGGTATAATGATTGTGCTAACTTGACCTCTGTATGATCACAAAATGTAAGCAGGATTCAGAACTCTCAACACTTTTATCTCTTCCGGACTATGATAGCTTTGTTACAGAAAGAGTGGTCAACAACAAAACTAGAAAAGGGGATATTGATGACACTTCATCCTTGTCTACTATTGTTGAACAGTTGAGCAACCAAGCTGAATACTTTTCTAGTTTTTTAAAAGATTTGTCAACCTACATGAATAGCAATATTATTGTGGTGCTTCGTTCTCTGCAACTAGTGAGCAACACCTTTGCTCATACTCTAGAAGAGCATGACATGTTGAAGGTTGAATTGGGGAACAAGGATGCTCATAACAGAGCTCAGGAATCTGAAGTGCTTTCTCTACAAAAAGAGCTGAGAGCGATGTCATCAAAATGTATTTATTGCATCCAACAAATTGAAATTGTTTTTGATGATATGGTTGATCTTGGATATGCAATAGACTTGGCTACAGGCAGCTCAAGCATAGGGTCTGAACTAGAAGTAACTGTGTCTGATCTGAAGAATGAGGATACCAGTGATTATAATAAGGTGACTGATACTTTGCTTGCTACGATCGACACACTTAAGTCCAAGTCTGAAAAATTATCTGCCATTAAGGGCTTGTGATAACTTCATTGGATGACTTCAAAATGAGGCTGAAACAAGCTGAATCAGCTGCTGAAACTGCTTCACATGAGCATCAGTTGTCTGCTGAAAGGGTATGCATGCTGGAGAAAGAACTCAAAATATTACAGGATGAATGCAACAGAATGGAACTAAATATGCATACTCAAATTTCAGCAGACAGAGGTAAAATCGTGCCACACCACTAGTAATTGGAGGTTCTTATATTCATTATGTTCTTTTTGTTTCAAACTTATATTTACCTGTTTCAACTTGCTGAACTCTTTTTCTTGAAAATTTCAGGTATAACTGACAATGCAATTTCAAAAGATCAAATGGAAGCCCTTGTTGAGAAGATAAGTAAGTTAAATATGCTGTCAGGCGAGTCAAATGTGCAGAGGGAAGAGGCTACATTCTCTAGTCCGCTTGACAAACTTTTTGTTGTCATTGATGAATTCAGTGCACTTCAACGTGAGGTTGAGACCTTAAGATATGAAAATGAAGATTTACAGTTAAATATTGAATCCTATACTCGTGAAATTGAACAGCTAAGAGAGGTCTCCAGAAATAGTGATCTAATTAATAGGGAGTTGGAATCCAAAGGAAGTGAACTTCTTGAGGTAACCGTTAGTATGGAGCGAATGATTCAGCGGTTAGGATATCTTGGAGGAAAAGATGTACTAGAAGATAACAAACCTGCTACCACACAAGCTCTCTTATCGAAGCTGGAAAAACTAATAATTGCTTCAAGTACTGAAGCTGGGAATGCTAAATCCATGACACAGGAGCTGGGAGCAAAGCTGCAGTCAAGGGAAAAGGCAGTTGATGAGCTATCAACAAAAGTTAAGATGCTTGAGGATTTGTACCATGCGCGACTTGCTCAGCCAGAAGCTAGTAAAGACAGATCATTTGAAGCATCTTCCTCAACAATTGGTTCAGATATGTCTGAGATTGAAGATGCGGTAAGTCTTGTTTCTGCTTGTACTTCTGTCATTAGTTTTCCTTTTTAATCTTCTGGCATATGGTACTGGCATTCATAATGTTTTGCAGTAATGTATTGTTCTTTCGCTGTGATATTCACTGGTCATATATGATTAACATTGCCTTTGTTATGGTGTTTCTGATGTTAGTAGTTTGTCAATGTGTTGCTCAGGAGCTATTCCTTGCATCCTAGCTCAGCTCTGCACAGATGTAATTAAGCATGTTTATAATTTGGTGGTTTGAACTACCCTGCAGGGACCAGTGGGCAAGGCATCAGTTTCATCTGTCTCTACAGCTGCACATGCTAGAACAATGCGGAAGGGGTCGTCGGATCATCTTGTTCTCAGCATTGGTTCAGAGTCGAACGATTAATTGCTGCGCAGGATTCAGATGACAAGGGTATTGCAGCCTTCTTCTTTTATGCTTTTGTTTTTGCGTGGGACAAGGGGGGTTCCGCTAATTTTCTGGCGTGTCTAACAGCACTGTATTTCTCATCTTCAAGGGCGTATAAAATCACTCCATACATCTGGCTTCATTCCAGCTCAGGGAAAGCACATCGCTGACAGGGTCGATGCCTTCTGGTAAGCTGATTGCACAGTAATGAATAATGCTGTACATGTGTGTTGGAAACTTAGAGTTAGGTGGACCATGCTCCATGCTCGACATTCTCTCGTTCCCTTAGGGTCTAGTGGTTCAGTAACTTGCGCTGCTTAGCTCTACAGGTTTCGATTAATTTCGTAAAATGGATATCTGCCCTTTTTTTTCAAAGATAAAAGGAATGTCTCCATTTCTCCGATGCTAAATGATTCTGTGAAATTTATGTATAACATAGGCTCCAAAAAAGGATTACCTGTACCCTGATAATTCTAGCTGCTATACCCTTTGCTTTCTTGTTACACAGTAAATTTCTTGTTACACCGAGGAGTTACCGCATGTCAGTTTTTGATACTGCCTTCTGTTTCCAATAGTGATAGGAGCGCATATCAAGCCGAAATCAGTAGTTAGATGCATACAAAATTTCTGGTCAACAGTCTCAGGAGAAACAAAACAACCTTCACAAATACTAGTCATTTCCAACACTGATAGGACTTAGGAGTGCTTATCAAGTCCAACCAGTAATTAAGTTCGCTCTTGTTTTGTTTGTTCTCCTACGACATTGTATCTGATCATGAAGTTTCAGTACTATCTTCACAAATATTTTGGTCTAATTTCGATGCCTGGATAAAAATAGTTTGCATAATTTCACCTGGCTATTTGTTTGCACTAGATGCTTTATATTTCTGCATTTATGACTGGGCTCACTGGAAAGAAGAGTTAAATTCATAGAACATGAAAAGTCAAATTTATTTCTTGAAATGAAATAAAAAAAATATTGTGCTTTATCCATTCTCTTGATCAATTGATGGTTGGGCTCTGATGATTGTGTACGAGGAGAATGCTGCATCTCACTTCAGTTGTTCCGTTATGGTTTATCAGCTTGTGTCTTTCTGTAGGGTCTCGGGGAGCCAAATTCTAATGAACCGGCCACGAGCAAGGCTAGGGCTTATGTTGTACTGGCTCGTTGTGCACCTATGGTTGCTGGGCAGCATCTTGTGACACTGCTTCTCAGTACCGAGACCCACCTCATAGCATAATTGTACAATAGCACGTATTAACAGTTTCTTCTTTCTTTCATACAATACATGGTAGATGTTAGAAATGTCATTCTTTTCATTTTCTCCCTCCTGCTCAGATTTGTACTTGAGCAGTATATGTCAAATTTTCGCACACAAAGATGTAATGTGCAGAAAGATAACATTCTCATTCTTTGGTATACTGAAGAATTGGTAGTTGTAGTTGTAGATGTGGCCCTGATCACCTGATGAGTCCCATCATCGCATCGCAAATTCGTTGTTTCAAATGCAAGCGTTTGAAGTCTGACAATATTTTCCCCTTACCTGCAGCTGAGGTCTGACCGTCTGAGGCGGTGAGGCCTTATGGGTCGACCTTTGACGTATCTATTCTATTCTAAGAAGGAATTGGAAAACCATTGTCACCGTAAAACTTTCTACCACGTTAGATTGACAGGTGGGCCCATGAGACAAGAACCACAGGAACATACGAAACATGCGTGTTTGGCTTTCCAAAACCTTGTCCCATGCCTCGCTCCCCTCTTCTTTTTCACCGATGATTCCATACCCGCCCGCGCATACCCACTTCCACCCCTCTCCCCCGTGCATCCTTATTCTTCCCGAATCGCCGGGACGCAGACGTCGCCTCGGCCTCTTGCCCATCGTGAACTCGAACGGGCGCCCCGTGCCCGTCCCGGAGGCGCGCTCCCTCCTCTCCCACCTCCCGATCCCTAATTCCCAACGCCAACCGGCAACCGCCTCCAGAGCACAGCGTCGAAGGAGAGGCCACGTAAAAACATAAGAGATTTGCCAAGGAGAAGCCGAAGGGATCGGCGGAGGTGCAGGAACCAGCGGCTGCCGACGACGACGTGTGCACGGAGGAGCTAGACTCGGAGGAGATGGTAGAGGAGGAGTTGGAGGAAGCGGCGGCCGAGCACGGAGAGAAAGGCAGATGCCTCGAGGACCACTTCGTGGGGGAACCGATGCCAGAGTGCCAGACCACGAGGCGAGGCAAAGATGGCCGAAAGGTACAAGACCAAGGTAAGGCGTTTATCGCAGCGTTCAGACTTGTTATTTATCTCCGAACGTCGCTTGTCTGCTCAGTACTATATCGTCATATCGAGGATATTCAGTTTTCAATTGAATCAGAGTTTTACATGTGTTAGATTAGTTCGTAGTTTATGAGTAGTTCATGCGTCTTAGAATGGATCAAAATCGCGTGCAGTTGAAATATAGATGTGATATTCTATGAGTGCGTATGGGCTCCACCTGCAAACTCGATTCACTCATTGGCCGCTTGCTTAAATTAGATCGGATCGGCCGCTGTTTCTGTGGCCAGATGTCGTGGTTGTTCCTGGGGCTGGTGTGGGGAATTCCACAATTTCAGTCTTATTAGGGCTAGGTTTATTACGTTGGCTTAGTTTGGCTCCAGGATAATTTAGATTAGATATAAAACTGGTTTGCTCCTTTCGGTTCATGATGATTGACTAGATGATGTTTATTACTCCTACTTAGACACGTTTGATGTGACGAGCTTTCTTTTTTCATAACTTGATCAGTAGCACTATCACATTCTTGTGGCAATCCTTTGAATTGATAGCATAAGTTGTATCTTGTATCAGGATTCAAGAGCACGATGGAAGACGTCAGCGCAGCCAACTAGGCTGAGCTCCAAGCCACCTACTGCTTCTTCATTGGCGACGTCTGCACCAGGCTCCAATTGTTAGTGATTGATTGATTGATCTTTCCTCTCCCTTTTTACCAAATCATCACTGTTTGTTTCAGTAACATTATTTGTTTGCATATCTAAAAGGAATAACTCTATTTGGGGTACTGCTCAACAATGAACTTTTCTCAGTGTCATTAATACAAAAGAGAGAGCCGCCAAGCAAACTGTAGAAATCTTGGAATCACACAGGAGATCAGATAAGGATCACTGCTACTCGGTAAGGAATAACTGCAGGTGTAGCTCTGCTGTCGAATTTCTATTTAGTCTTTTATTATTAATGTTCGCTCTTATTCATACTGCTGCAGGCTGGTCCCAATGAGGAAATTACATTTGCCCAATTAAGAGTTTTTTCAAAGACTAGATCATGCATCCTCACACTCTTGTGTTTGCACGACCAACACTTCAATTCGAGTGTGAATGAATGAATACACTAGCTGATTGATCAAAGTCGATTTTTCCCTACTGTCTGTCGGTGTACAACAACCCTTACTGGAGGAAGGCTCCTACGAGGTTGTGCAAATCAAGCTCTTCAAGAATGAGAACGAGAAGCAGAACCAGGACCAGCCCCTGTTGCTGGAACACCAGCAGCTGACCAGCAAGTGGAGGATGAGCCTCCTCAGGTGGGGTGATTCCTCATTTTTTTCTTGTCTCTCAAATTTTTCTTTTGTCATCGGCATTGACAGCCAACCCAAGTAGCTGTGCTACCACCAGATCCACAAGGCATCAACATATTTCTATTGCTCTGCTGCATCATATTCCTTTGATTACCTTTGGTAAACTGATACAAATTGCAATATCAATCTAATTATATGCTAGGATATATGGTTTTCAGAGGTGTCAACTCTAATGCAGCCACTTTGATCTTTTAAGCACTATAACCTATTGAGCTTTTGTTTCCTTTTGTGGTCAGTTTCAAGTCACAGCCTAGATTGCACGGTAACATTAAATATTTTGTGCAAAGAAGGAGGTTGTGCTTAATTTTAGCTAAAAAGAAGAAGTATGTGTCTGACTTTTTTTCTCGAGTTCTCCAATATATATTGATCAAAACCTCTTAGTAGCTCACATTTTGCTGTATATGATTTCATTGGAGAAAATCTCATGATGATAGTAACAAAACAACAATAAGGTTAGATTGTATTGGTTGAATCATTTGTACACAAAATTTGGTCACATCATCATTCATGCTAGCCTCAACTAATTTGGTATAGCATTTGTTCAATGCTTCTCTAAAATTTCTCCTGTGCTGACATTTGGAAAGGATAAGAAATTAGTTATCAAGTAGAGTAGGATACCTCTGCAACCACTGAGCTCGAGAGGTGAGCATTAATCTGCATTTTGCCTTTCCTATGCTCTATCTGAACTAAAGGTCAAATAATAATTTATGATTGGTTGCTGGTTATCTTTTAGCGTTCTGACCATTTAGAATATATTAACATTTCTAATAAATTATATAACTGTGGTTACTGTTTTTAGCTATTTTCAGATGGTTGCTCTGCTTATTGTTTGCAATTGGCTTATTTCAGATTGAATGATGGCGACAACATGGTGCACTATGGTACTTGGATGCAGAGTTCATGCTCGTGGCCAGTATTGGAATATTGTTGCTTGTAATCTTGAAGATCCATGGTCATGGCTTATTTTCTAATCAAGAGTAGACCTTCTGTTTGTTTTTCAGCTTCAAACGGATTGTGTTCTCAATCTCAAAGTTTGTTGTTGTCAGAGTTATGATTTTATATCATGTATGGACTAATTCTGATTGATTTAGGTCTATGTTATGGTGCCTTGGATCTATGTTTTGTAGGAATGATCCAAGAATCTAATTAAGAAAGGTCAGGATTCCTTTTTAAGTTTTCCTATTTTTTTTTAACTTGTGATCTTTTACCACTCAACTGAACTTCAATGTTTGATTAAATGTCTACTTTTCCTGCTTTTACTACGTTGCCCTCTTAAGAAATGCTGGTACAATGTAAGTTATTCTGAATCCAAAGCATAATCTGTACCAAGTAACTCAATCCATAGGTGCTAAAAATACA